CATACATACATACATACATACATACAAAATAGAGATTTAGCCCAAGGTCCTCTTGTTATGCAAGGTTTGACTATCTCCCCTCTTCTATTTAACATCTACATGAAACCACTGGGGGAGGTTATCTGGTGACATGGAATTAGATATCATCAATATGCTGATGATATCCAGCTATACATCCCAACCCTTTGTTGCCCAACTGATGCCATCGAGATTCCACTTCAGTGTCTGGAAACTGTAAGGAACTAGATAGGACTCTAGATAGGCTTAAACCAGCATTATGTTTTGGAACAAACTGATTCTGGAGATTTTCCATCTCTAGTTCTGGATGGGGCTTCACTGCCCAGTCAGAACTGGTATGCACACTGGGGATCTTCCTGGGCTCAGGCCTCATGCTTGAGGATCAGGTGACAACTGCAGCTAGGACAGCCTTTGCACAAACCCATGTTATGTACCAGTTGTGCCCATTCCTGAATCAGGAGGCCCTGCTCAGGGTCACTCATCCCTTTATGGCATCTCACCTGGATTATTGCAACATTTTCTCCATGGGGCTGAAGACCCTGAACGCCACTTGGAAGCTACAGCTGGTCCAGAATGCAGCAGGATGTTGTGTAAGCCATCAGTATGTATCAATATGTGTCCTGGGAATTACTGTGCCCAGTACTATAAGTATTATGTACATCTCAACTTTGTTGGATTTTTATTAATGATGTAATGTTTGGGCTGCGTTATAATGTCTATAATCTTTTTAGCTTTGCAGGGTTGCTTGGCAAGTGGGCAGCCATACGAATTAAATAAATAATTATTCAGTATGCTTTTGAAATAAAGTGTAGACTTGTAAATCTTGTAAAAATGTTGTCTTGTAAACCTGAATTGCTAGAATCCAGTCACAGGTGGTAAATTGTATTGCTTTTCTTAATGTATAATTTCTGTATGCATTTGAAAATTGTATCACCTGGCTCCAAACAGATCACAAATCATGCTTCACCCATGGCTTGTGACATGTCACAATTATTGACCATACATGCTGGCTGGGGAATGCTGGGAGTTGAAGTCCACACATCTTAAAGTTGCCATGTTTGAGAAACACTGTCATACAACAAAGACAGACCTTCTTCACATATCACAATAAACCAGGGTTTATTGAATAAACCAGAATAAACCAGAATGGCTGCATTCATACAATATGCTAAGTCAAAACCAATATTACGGTTAGTGCAGTACATAACTAGATTGTCCTAGTCTGTTTACAAAAACTAGTCTTCTGTTTTGACAGTATCTCTTAAAATATATGTAATTCTCTTCCTTTTGAACCTTGTCTCTACAAAGATGCTTGATCCTAACAGTCAGTTTGAGCAGGTACTACTTAGTAAGCACCTTGAAACATGCTGTAATGTCTATAATCTAAAAACAGGATCCGTAGATTCAGTGCAGCTGGAGCATCAAAACCAAAACATATAATCAATAAATAATATATAATCAATATATAACGCATAATATATATAATATACAATCAGAATCAAAATATATAATCCAACTGGACTCCTTTGCAGTTTCAAATACTTGTAGTCTTTTCTGAGTATATGTTACTAAAGTGGAACTTTAATGCTCATCTTGTAATGATTTGTAACTTTCTAATAACATGGCAAAAGTTTTGCCAGTTTGGAATTCGCAACCTTATGAAGAATTCAGTGTACTGTTGAAAAAATCACACTCTGTCTTGAATTTTTTTTATTCTAATTTTATACACAGATATGTGCACAATTGTGTGCAGAAGTATAGGCATCTCTGGTCAAATTTCAATGAATCTCTAAGTGAATAGAAGCTGACACAACATCTATACACAGCAAGTTAAACATAAATTTGCATGTATTTGTGCTATTTATGTGCAACTGTTTACAAATTTATAATAAGAAAGCAATGAACATGGCAGATACAGATGTTAGGACACTCTTCCAATTGATTCAGTGCTGCTGCTTCTGCTTCTACTACTACAGTTGTGTTAATAATCCCCAAATGGTGATTGACTCATTAGGCCTACAATGAGCTGCTTTAAACTGCTGACTTCAGCATTTGAAATGGATACAGTAATTCACTCTTACCGTGAGAAACATTGTTAAAAAATGAAAGTTACAAGTGTTGAAATCAAATCAACATTATTTATAGTATTGTATTTATACCCACTGCAATTGGATATAAATACAATACTGTAAATAATGTTGATTTGACTCAGGGAAACCTGTTAGAACTGCCTAAAAATTGATCAGATCTGCAAAACAAAATCCACAGATCACTACAAATGTACTAGCTGACACTGAAGTGGATATCCACAATAAAGTATAGCTTATAGAATAGTGATCTGCATGAGAGAGTTGTCTAAACGAAACCTTTTCTTCAAGCTCATATGAAAGTCATTATCTAAAGTATGCAAAGAAAACCTTGATAAGCCTGAAACCTTTGCAACAAAGTGCTATGGACAGATGAAACTGTTCGGCCACAACAACACAAGATACATTTAGAGAAAAATGGGTGAAACATTTGAAAAAAAGAACACCTTGCCAGCCATTAAGTGGAGCGGTGGGGGGAGGCAGGTAGCTCTATTATGCTTTAGGGTTATGTCACAGTTTGTGGCACAGGAAGTATTATGCAAGTGGAGGAATGGATTCAACTAAGTATCAACATATCCTAGAAGCTAATCTCCCATAGTCATTGAAGAAATTGAAGCTGAAAAAAGGTTCGATATCTTAGCATGGCAACTAAGCATACCTCCATATAAACTGTGAAGTATTTACAAAAAAGAAAAAAAGGCTTTGGATGGCCTTCACAGTTCCCAAACTTGAATATTATTGAAAATCTGTATGGGGTCACAAACCTGCAGTCCATGGGAAGAAACCTGAGAATATTTCTAAACTAGAATTCTACAAGAGGAGTTGGAAAACATTCATAAAACAACAACAGAAAGATTCTTAGCTGGCCACAGGAAACCATTGGAACCCATTATTTTCTGACAAAGGAGATATGACTGAAAGGATAGCCAAAGTTTTGCACCTGCCATATTTACTCAATCTCATGTACTTTGTGGCATTAGAATTATTCTCTAAAATCCTTACTGTTGCTTTTAATAAAATAAATTCATTCCATTATTATTATCATTATCGTTATCATTATCATTACTCCTCCAGTGTTGGATCTGTAATCTACCACTATATCCTCCAAAATCACTTGACCCTCATAAAAGGAGGAAAAGTGGGGCCATTATTCAAAGGCTTCTTCTTGGGAAGGGTGATGTCCTGCTTTGCTCCATCCAGATTCCAGTCAACAGAGGCATCTCCCTCTTCAAGAACAGGTGTTTTTTGAACTGGGCCTGAAACTATTTCACATGGGGAAATAGCCACAACCCAATAACCCAGAATTAAGATAGAGGGTTGTGAGGATTAGGGCTTGAATTAAAACTAAATGCAATTTCCATTTGGAGGCAAGGAATTTCCCTCCCAGTGACTTCAGTAGGAAGAAATAAAAAGAGCCATCACATGAATAATCTTCATGCCAACTTCACCACAGCAAATGATAGGGAATTGTAGGATATGGAAGAAAAGACATGTGAATTTGCAGTCTGCTCTTGCCTCATATAGCCATGATCAGGATGCGGGATGAACACTCCTTGGACATTTTTCTTCTTTTTCTTTCCTTGACAAACACCTACTATCAAGATTCAGGAACTGGATGCTCCACTGCTGATTACTGCTATTGGTTTTCTATTGTTGAATAGGTTCATACATCATTCTAAGCCAGAGGTCCACAAATTCAAGTTACAGGATCATACTTGTTTCAAAAGTTATCCCTGAACTATAATACTTAAAGTGATAGAAGGGGAAAATTATTAAATGCATGAGAGTAATCATGTTTTCAGTAATTTAATTTAGCCTTCACGGCAGTTTAAATGGAATGAAATCAAGTTTATTTTTTGTTTTGGCCTCACATTATTTACAGTGTGACAATCAACACACTACCACCCAGAAAAAAGTTAAGCACCTCTGCTCTAAGCCATGGTTTATTTAACCAAATGACAATGGTGGTCAATGGCATGTTGGGATCCTCCTGATTTGTTCCAATTGGCCTGTGGACCACATTGAGGTTACAGAAACTTCCTGCATGTCAAAATGTAGCTATCCAGCCCAGCCAGGGCTCAGAGGCATTCTTGGAAATAAAAATGATGCCGGAGATTGGCACTTTGTTTTGATGAATGCTAATTCCCCATTTAAATTTCTTTTCTTTAATTAACAGAATGTAAGAGAAAAACAAAACAGACAAGTGGCCTGGGAGTCTCATGGTTGTAAGATGTCTCAGAGTTTCCAAAGGTGCCAGGTGTAGAAAACTATGCAATGCTACCATTATAAAAGTGTTTCTCAACCTTGGCAACTTTAAGATGCACGGACTTCAACTCCCAGAATTCCACAGCCAGCATCGTTTCTGTTTCTCTTTACCTCTAGCAGGTATCAGAGGCTTTTAGTAGCAACTAGAGCTTCTTTTCTTTCAAGGGGAGTTTCCATTAATGGTTTATCGATTCAGGTATAGATTCTAGTAAACAGATAGCTCATGCTATGAGTGGGTTCATACATCATACTTAACCATCTTTGAAATCATGGCTTACTAAATCTTAATTGTTTCTAGTAAATTTTAATTGTCTCTAGATATTAATATGAGGCTTAAACTCTATTTGCGAGCCACTGTGGTCAAAGGATAACCCACTACAGCAAAGCTAAACAATCCTTATAATAACTTAGAATGCTCAATGAATTCTTCTAATGTTCTAAGTGAGCACCAGGTAACAGATTCAGGGAGGACACTACTGTACTTTAGAAATGTGACGTGAGGAAAAGGAATGTGACACTTCCCATTACGCCTACAGAGAACTTTCCATGTTTATATGAAGGTTCTTTCGCGCAGGCGCGAGGAAGCGGTAGCGGGGAAAGAGAAATGCGCATGCGGAGAGGCCCGGGCCTTGCCTGTCCGCGTCGGCTCCGCTGGCTCCTCGGCCGGAGGGGCGGGCCAAGAGAGCGCGAGCGCGCGCGAGGAAGGAGCTCATGAACCCGGCCCTGAGGGCGCGAGCGCGCGTGGCCGGAGCATGAACGGTTGTCGAGTGTGAGGCCTCGGGCCGGGACCCGGTTCCCCTCCCCAGTGGGGAACCGGGAGCAAGCGATGGTGCGGGGCGGCCGGCGGGATGGAAGCTACGACGCCGACGCTGCCGCCGAGACGCGGGTCGCCCGCCGCCTCCGTTCCCTCCTGCTGCTGCTACTGTTGCTGCTGCTGTCCCCGCCCGCGAGCTCCGAAAGCCAGAAGGGCCCGCTTCAAGCACCCATTCCCGCCACCGGGCCCGGCCTCAGTGTTTATATGAGTCAAGAAGAGGTGCTGCGTCTTATTGGTGAGTGAGAGTCGGATGTGCACTCGCTCCCGGCTTGTGTGTGTGTGAGAGAATGGGGAGGATTCTGACGTGTGATCAGGGTTCTCTTGCAGGGGATGTTTTTGCGACGACAAGAGGGAGATGCCCGCAGCCAAAGAGCTCCGATCGGGTGGGAGGGTGGATTAAATGGCGGGGATTGCTCCTAGGTTGGCGTTGGGATCGTTCCTCTTCCTCTGGCCAGGCTACCCCTCCCATTGCCTGGCCCCTCGTTCCTTGTTGGGCCTTGCTGCGTTAGTGGTGCTTAACCATCTTTGTGCCGTGAGCACGCCGCCTTGGATGGGATTTCGGGGTGGAAACAAATACAGCACGTACGTGGCTGTGGAAGAGGAGGGAGAGTGCCCGTTTTAGGTTTAGCGTTGCATTTTGATGGCCCTTCAAAGGTGCTTCACCGAGCAGTTTCCAGATTACGTCCTCGTCGACAGCTGGCTGGGATTGTTGTTCTTCCCGGGTGGGAGGAAACTTAGAGCTGGAGAATTCGATTTTGCCACCCAAGCAAAGTCACGGTGAAGGCGAGAGCACTCGTTCCCCAGATCCAAGGCTAATGTTATTTTGCAAATAATTATTTTGCTTTGTAGAAAGAAATATCTTTGACAAGAAACAGTTCCTGTTTCCTATTGACACGATGATGTTTTTACAGTACTTTCAGAAGAAATGATTTTGTAAAATTTGACTCTGGCATATCATACTTAAAACTTATATATGGATAAAGCATGGCTAAATACTCCCCTCCTGCCAGTTAGCTAATGTTGATCTTGTATATTTTATATTCAGAAATGGTGTCTGTAGCTTGGAAACGTACAGTTTTCAATGCATATTTCATTGTTTGCATTTTTCTTATTTATTTATTTTATGCAATTTCTATAGCTGCCCATCTCAATCCAAGTAACTCTGGGTGGTGAACAATTTCAAATTTGTTTTTTAATTTTTATTTTTCAATTTTAAGCCACTCAGAGTTGTTGGGAGTTGGGTGGCCTGTAGTTTTTTTAAAAAAATAAATACTGCTTATTTATTTATCAACTTGTACGCTGCCTCAGTTACCAGAGTAACCCTAGGTGGGTCTGATTATACCCATGCCCTTTCTTTTTCACAGAATTTTATAGTAAATAGTAATCGTTTATTGATTGATTAGTCTTATGACCATATCAAAGAAATAAAATAAAGATAAAATATGTCTATTTCCAGGATAAAATAGGTAAAGGAAAATGCAAAATACATCTGTGCTAGAAATTTGCAGTGGAACTTAGCTAGATTGTTCTCAGTTGGTAACCTTCTGATGTTTCCCACCATTTCTTCTGCCCAGAATCATTGAGTCAGGCAGCATACATGTTTAATAAATTATTATTATCATCTTAACAGAAAAAGAATAAGAGGAAAAGATGGAAAAGTTCCATGAATTTTTATAGTATTAACAATCATCTACCTGAAAATACTTTTTGAGATACTTGTGCAAAATCTCAGTATGAATTATAGTCTGAAATGCATTTTAGAGCACTAATATTTCTACATCCAGAAAAACATGGAATTATCTGGTCCGATACTTTCAAATATCAAGATGTCTTTTACCAAATTGTAATGTTTAGTATAATAGAGATGAAAAATGTTTAAATACATGAATGGTGAGTAAGCAATTGTTATTAGGTTTAAATATCAGTGACATTCAATTCATATCAATTACATGAAAAAAAACAAACCCTCACATCCTCTAGTTTTGGATATGTTAGCCTCTGAAATAAGATTAAATTGCCAAGGGTGCCTTTTGGTCCAGAAAAAAACCTGCTATAAATCATAATGTACAAATAACAGTGACTGGGTTCACACAACAAGCCAAACCAAACTGATAAAACATGACAATATTATTTTAGGAAGCCAGGAGCATTAAGACTCTAAATGGTGCTTGTAGTTCCAGACACTGCATGTCTACAGTGCAATACACACACACATATACATACACACACATTGTATTTTCTACCATATTTCACAAAATTCTGCTTTTCATAATATTTTAAAATTTACACAACACTTAGTCCAACATAGTTTATTTATTTAAACTCAAACCATTTTTAAAACATATACAAATAGAATTAAAAAATAGAATTAAATTAGATACTTACATAAATCTAAGCAGTAAAATAATAAAACACTGATAAACAATAAGACAGTAACTGCCATTAGAAAATGAGCATTTTAGTTTCCTAAATGGCAGCTGGTTAATCCAGGCAAAGACAGGTTTAAGCCCATTGACTTAACATTCAGTTCAGTGGAACAGAATCTAGTGACTTTCTTAGACATTTTTATGGAAATACTTGCCAGTAAAAACTGTACAGTTTTGGACTCAATCCAGCCCCTTTTTCTAACAAGTGAATGTAATAATGTTGGTTGCTAGTCCTGGTATAATGGCTAGTACACTTGGATGTGGGCTGTTGCTTCAGTGACTGCTGGTGAGGTTATGCAGTGGTGATCTAGTTAAGGCAGTGTAATTGAGTTACTCATCCACCAGGTCCAAGAGTAGGGCATTGAATCTAGCTAATATAAGTGCCTTTCTATGAGGGTGAAAATATCTTCAAAAGATAGTTTGGAAGGGGGTGTGATAAAAGTTCCCCGAAACATAACTTGGAACTTCAGATCTGTCAGCATGTAAATCAAAGCCAAGGACACATTTAACCTCAGAGATAGCTTTTTCCAGATCCATCACAGTTAGCGCTTCAGAGAACAATCATTGCAGAAGCCAAAATAATTGGTAAGGGTTTTTTTCCCCCATGTGGAATTAAATTTATCTGGAAGAACAGATTACATCAGTGAATAATTTTCAATGTTTAGTTTCAGCTAGTATCTTAAGCAGCATATTTTTTACCTGGACATCAGTGGAAGGCGATCCTAGTTCAAGTCTTAATAGGGCACTGGGGATAAATTGAGGGGTATAGAGAATGATTCTTCCAAATTTGGACTGCACTGCTTCTAAAGGTTTTATGTGTTTATAAGAACAGAGTTGCATGCCGTAAAGCAGAAGGGGAATCACCTCCCACCTTGAATAGTTTACCTGCTTCAGGAACAAAGTTGTTACCTTTACAGCATACGTATCTAAGTATTTCATTTGTGGCCCTCTCTACATTTCTGGATTTGTTGATTCGATGTGGAGAATAAGTGGAAAGTAATAGTTAAATATTTAAAGCACTTAGTTTGCATTATTTGTATGCAATTGCCATTTAGGTTGACAGATAGAGCATCTTTTTTGTAAATAGGACAACTTTCATTTTGGCATAATTAATTACAACTGTTTATTGGTGGCAAAAGTTAGCCAGGCTCCCCCAGAGCCTTCATAAAACATGGAAAGAATAATGATGCCCATTGGCATATAGTGGAAGGGGGATGGGTCTTTATGTTAATGCTGGTGAATGAAACGTGTTACTTGATAAAGCCTATACTGTGCAACTAAAATAATATTGAATAATGGGGAAGCAAGAATGCATCCCTGTTTGACATTCATTATGATGGAGATAGGGTCAGTGAGGGCACCATTAGCATCATGTTTTACTTTTGTATAAGTATTCTCATGAATACTTGACTATCCGTATGATAGTCAGAATCACAGTGATCAATAGAGGTTGCTGCTAGTTTCTCCCACAGCCTTTTTCTCAAGATTGTATCAAATTCTGTCTTGAAAATAATGAAAGCAGCATAAAGAAATCCTCATGGCTGAATGGGGTATCTTGGCAAGATGGTAGAAAATGATATAGTAGTCAAAAGTTGAATGGTCAGGTCTAAAACTAGTTTATTGTGCAGTATGTTCTCCTGAAGCAAGAGCGTTGTTACATGGGTGCCTAGCATATAGCTAACTAACTACTTAGAACACTTGTTGGATGTTGGTTTAATGGATTAGATTTATCAGCTTTTTAAAATACAGGGGATAGTCTTGCAGCAGCTGCATCAGTTGGTCTGTGTTTGTAAATAAGGGTGATAAAAGAGGAACACTTTTTCCTGAGCAACACTGTTGGTAAATTAACTGAAAGTGGAATTCATAAGATTTGATGTTTGTGCTTTTATTCAATAATCTAGATTACAATCAGTATAGGTTTTTATCTGAATTTCTTCATATATGACAGAGGCAGAGAGAGAGAGAGAATGTGTTGTATATCACTTGAGTTGCTTGGATGACTGAAGCAGCTTATAAATTGAACAAAAAAATAAGCTGCATCTGTCTAACTTTCTGCAATTCTCCCATCTTATTGCAAAATCCTGTGTTACATTTTTGAGCTTCTCTTTGGTCCCCTGACCTGATAACATTGATTACACCTCATGACAAAGTATAGTAACTTAGACACCAGATATCCTAAAAATAAGTGATAAATAATAGTTTGAATCTGCCTTAGACAACTCATAGATATAACTTCAGATATAACTTTATTTAATTATTGTAAAACTACTTTCTGTGGTTTGTTGAATAAATTTACAAATGCTAAACCATGGTTTGCAGACTACAACAACTTTGTTCAAACATGCTAAGCCAAATCAAAGCCAAGGTATGCTTTGTGCAGTATGTGGGCTTCCAGAACTTTTTCCTGGAGCACAAAAAATTGACTGTGCTACCTGTTGAAACCTAGTGAAGTTGTAGTGTAGCAACATCTGAAAGACACACAATTGTCTACCCTTTATTTGGTATTAAATGTATGAATAAAGACAGTGGATGTTAACTTCCACAGTCCTGCTGGTCTTTGTAATTCCTTTTCTCCACTAGGCTTACATGAAATCAGAAACAATGTAGTATTTGACAAAAAGAATTTGCAAAGACCAATTGCATCATAAACAGTCATGCTGAAATTCATTAAGAAATCAATATAGCTCTCACAGATCAGATAGAAAGCAGAGCTTCTTATCACACTACATATGTTAACTAACTACATGCATACATACATACAGTGGGGCAAAAAAGTATTTAGTCAGCCACCAATTGTGCAAGTTCTCCC